CTGGGAATCATAGAATCATAGAATCACTTTGGTTGGAAAAGCCCTTTGAGATCATCAAGTCCAACCTTTAGCCTAACCCTGCCATCCCACCACTAAACCCTGGCCCTAAGCACCTCATCCATCCTTCTTTTCAATCCCTCCAAGGAAGACACGTTTCGCTTGGTGTCACTCCTAAGCGGCGACCAACGGGCCTTGGTCCCCTGTGCTCCTGCTCACAGAAAATCAACCAGAGATTCAGGTCCAGGAACTGGGAGGCAGGTTTTTCTCCTGGGGGCAACCAGAGAAGCCAAAAAGGAAGACACGGGCAAGCGCATGCATTTTATGGCCAATTTCCTTGGGCTGTTATCTAAATGCCACAAAGCCTCCCAGCAGGATAAGGCCCACAAAAGCACAGAGCAGACAGACGGACGGACGGATGACACTGATGATGCACAGCCCAAAGAACGCCAAGTTATTTTCGTGTGAGCGACTTTGCAAGCGCTCAAAGCTGACTCAGTTCTCTGCCTCTCCTCCCTTCAAGCCAGGGGCCAAACTGGAGCCACTCCAACCCGAGGGGGGGGAAGGGGGGGTCTCGGAAAAGCCAACAGGCCGGGTCTTCTTCACACGGCTCTGCATGAGGGTCCACACTCGTGCAAACCACCGGCAGCTTGGAGCAAATCAGTAGCTGACCTCCAGGGGCTGGTGGCTTCCCACGGCTCCCAGCTGGGCCACGCTTGGCAGAGCAGAGTTATGAGCATCTTAGGATGGACTTGGGTGGGATGGGAGAGGGAGAGGACACGCTGGGCCCTCTCCCACCCCCAGCCTCTCAACACATTAGGATCACCCTCCATCCCCATCGCCTTGTGCTCCGTTATCGATGGGCCGGAAAGAGGAGGATGGACTTTGGAGCAGGGGGATTGAGTGCGGGCTGGAGAAGAGGGTGGTAGGGAGCTTGGACCCTTCCCCACAGCCCTGATGATTTGCTGCCAGTGAGAACCAAACTCCATCTCCGCAATCTGCAGAAACCACTTTTGCTCTCCTGCAGCACAGCCCTGGGCAGAAAGCAGCCCCCCCTCCAGGGCCAAAGGCCCTCCGACAGCCTGGTAAAACAGTGGGGGAGCATCTCTGCCTCCATCCCAAAGACCTCCAGAACCTCTTTTAAGCTGTCTGGGGAAGAGACTTTGCAGAAGTTCAGAACCCCCAGGAGATCCGTGGGACAGCATTTTTCGATGCCCCCAGCTCTTCATGACCACCCAAGGTGAGGTGGTTTGCAGGAACCCCACCAGTTGCCCCATTTGGGCATCTCCCAAAGGGAAGAACGCTTTTTCTGCCATGCTGCTTTCCTCCCTCCCGGTCCCAGAGCTGACACCACTCCCCGACCCAGCAGCACATGTGGGAGGACCCTGCAAGCCTTCAAAGCTCTGTCTGGGGAGAGACGAAAGGCCGGTTAAACTCCTGGCTGGAGATGAAAGGAAACGCTCCCCTCCACGGCTGGAACGAGTTGCTGGTGCTTTGGAGTCGGGTTTGAGGCCCATTTCCTGAGCGCCATGGCAGGAGCTTTCATTTGTAGAGGGGCTTTGCTAACGAGCCATGGGGCTGTCATGAGAGCAGATGTCCAGATCGTCCATGGCACATCGGTGCATCCCCGAGCACGCCGGGAGGACGCTGGGCTCTGCAGGAGGGGCAGCCTGGATGCTCCAGCGGCTGAGGCTGGTGCTCCCATCCTCTGTATCTCCACCGGAGAGGGCTCCCAGCACAGCCCAGCGGGACCCCAATGCCCTTTGGGGGTGACAAAGCCACAAGTGAAGATGGGCTGTCCAGCCAGGGCTGGCAGCAGGGTGGGGGGGAGCAGAAAGGGGAGATTTCAACTCCTGCACCAAGCACGGATACATAGCCCAGGGCTGAGGAGCGGCTGGCTTGGGCGGATGCGAGCGACAGATTTTACTCATTTTGTCAAAGGAAATTCTATTCCGATTAAAACCCGTTTGATCTCGACGGAGAAGGGGGGTAGGGTGGGGGTAGGATTGGGTTTCTCTCCAATTGTTGGGCTTTATTGGGCTAATGTATCAGCTAAAAGCTTCCAAGTAAGATTTAAAGGAGGGAAAGGCAAGGGCATGAGCTGCAAAATCTGGAGATGACTTCAAGGGGTTTATTAAAAAAAGGGATGCGCTGCACGGCACGGAGCAGGAAGGGATCAAGGCGCTCGTCCAGCGCCACGCGTACAGGTGGAGTGCAGAGCCAGGTACCCTGGTACCCCCACCCGCTGCCACAAGCACCCCGGGGCTGTCCCCTCTCTTCTCACCATGTGCCTATATCTCACCGCTGTGTTGGGACGGGCTTACCGGACGTCCAAGCTGAGCCCAAGATGTCGAGACAGTCAACATCAAAGGGGTTCGCGTGCATTAAGCTGCGTGGCTGCCCGAGGGACAGAGCTAAATCATAGAATCGCAGAATCATAGAATGGTTTGGGTGGGAAGGGACCCCTAGAGGTCACCCAGCCCAACCCCCCTGCAGGAGCAGGGACACCTTGAACCACATCAGGTTGCTCCCGTCCAACCTGGCCTGGGATGTTTGAAGGCGGGGAAGGGGTTGGGTAATGTTTGAAGAAATAACGTCAGGGTCGGGGAAACACAGACGGACCTGAACGCACGGTCCTGGGCAGAGGGGCCCGAGGCAGTGGGAAAATCAGGGCTGCTACGGAGCCGATTCAAGCACCGACAGGCAGAAAGGCACCGGCCAGGGAGCAGGGCTGGCCACAGGGGCCCCCAACCCCGTGTCTCCAGCAAGCAGTTCCTACGCTGATGCATCCCACTTCATCCACTCCCAAAGCAGTTATGAGTTCAAATTGAGCAATTCTGGTTAGAATAAAAGGTCAAGCCATGGAAAACTGCAGCTGAGAGGACTTGGGGTGGTGAACCCATGCATCCCTCTGTCCCCAGGATGGATCCTCTGCCACAAATGCCCATCCAGTTTGACCTGGCAGCAAAGGGGACGGGGCAGCCCACACCAGCAACCCGCTGTCCTCACTAATCCTTCCCAAGACCTAACCTACATCCCTGCTCTAGTTTAAGCCTATTACTTCTTTTCCCATCTGGACTGGACAAGAAGAGTAGATCGCCCCTCTCTGCTGTAAATCAGCCCCCAAAGACCATGGTCAGGTCTTCTCTCAATGGTTCCTTCTCCAGACCAAGCAACAAAGACATTTTCGGACTCACCATAGGTTGTGCCTCGCTGGAAAAGCCGTAGCTGCTGCTCAGCCATCCCCGTCGTTCTCTGCAGGTCTCTCTGCGCCGCTGCCGACTTCCACCAAGCACGGTACCGGGTGAGCGCAGGCACGCAGCGATGGGCAGCAACGGGTGAAAGCTGGCCAAGGCAAGAAGAGCATCTTGGTGGAAGAACTCCCAACTCACTGCAGGTTGGGTTGCTTGTAGGGCTGGGCTGCCTGCCCCCGCCGGGGCAGCTGAATGCCCCGGCTCGTTTGCCAAAGGGTTGATTCCTCCCCATCAAGGAATGAGAGTCCCCCAGCTCCTTACCTTCTCCTCCATCACCTGAAATAAAAGGGGTTGTCCAGGCTGTAACATAAAAGGGAACGTGTCCTGTGGTGCAAAGCACTGCAGGGTTGGGTGTTTGTAGGGGAACAAGGAAGGGCCTGTTGAAATTTTGGGGTTTTTGGAGGACTGGAGAGAGCACTGTGAGTTGGGGGACATGGGCAAGGGGCCATCTTTCGAGGGAGGCCATGATAAAACATAAGCTGAAATGAGTGATGATGAGCATGGGTTAAACTGAACACGTAGCTAAAGTTTGAGTCTTTTGCTAGGGAACTGCTTTTTTGAGATGGAGAGAGGGAAAACCCCACTGAAAAATCCCATTTACATGTAGAAAGGAAAAGAATCAGAGAAAATATCTCTGTCTTGGAGATCCCTGGAGGGATAAAACCAGAATTGTCCTACGCCAGGTTGAATTAGACCCAGCTAAAGAAGTTCAGCTTGAAGGTCCTTCAGGTCTATACACAAAAAGAGGACAAAAAAGAAGATTCCATCTGTGCAATACAGATAAGACTGAGCTTAAAGATCATTTAGACGTCTCCCTAAATGACTCCACGATGCAGTGAGGAGGATGAGGACGCAGGAAGGGCGCATCACCAGGAGGAGTTTATGGAGGCGAAGGCGTCGTGTGCCGGAGCGCTGAAACCTTGATCTGTACTAAACATCGCGGCTTGGTGGAAAATAAAACCAACTGGGTCAAGACAGTAAATACGGAGCTTCTACTGCCAGAAGGGCGAGAGAAGCAAGCGAGCGCGACCCCGGCGGCGCTCAGGGTTTGGAGGAAATCTGGAAGGCAAAAAGTATCAAAGATAGGGAGATAATTGGATTAAAATGGCACCGAACGAGCTCACCTCGGGCTAACCTGATAATTGCCTTTGATCAAAATTATATTCCGAACAAAGGCTGCGCAGTCGATCTCCTCTGCCTGGACTTTATTAACACACTTGATAAATTGCTCCGTAGGTTCTTGTAGGGAATCTGGAGAAAAGGGGGGATTGAACTGGGAAGGAATGGGCTGAAAGGGGAGGCATGGGGCTCTTGTGGAAGACGGACTGCCACCAGCTTGGGGTCCCTCGGGGGCTGGCTGGGGAGAGGCTTCCTTACCGTTTTCATTTGCCTAAAAGCTGGAGGGAAGGTAAAAGCAATTTGCCAGTGACACAACGCCCTCGCGACGCAAAGGCACTGGCAGCGCAGATCACCCAAGCGCATTTCTGCGCCTATTAAAAGATCGGAGGCACAAAAAACCAGAACAAGACCAAACGTAAACTCAGCATTTGGAAATACAACCCCCTCGACAAAGCCTTCTTGACGCCGCCGGCACTTGCAAGGTGGACATCCCATTTTTCCCGATCCCCTTCCTGGGTGAAGCAGCCTCCCAAGCAGAATTTGGCGGATCCCATCCCACCCCACCAAGCAAATCTTCCCCAGAGTGGGAAAACAAACAAAAAAAATCTGATCTGGAAAGGTGGAGGAGCATGCGTTGGCCTGGTGGCCTTTGGGGTGTCCATCCCAAACCCTGCACACCCCAAACCAACTCTACCTTCCAGGCACTGGGCAAATAGGGGAGGAATTTTTTTTTATTTGAGGGTTGATTTTTAGCTTTGGAGCCCTCAGCTTCGGGACCTTGCTACCAACCCGCAAGATTTTTTAATATAATTATTCCCGGAATAAATTCTCTCCCACAAGGCCTTTAAACCACTGAACTGTGTCAAGGAGCTGCGGGCCAAGAGACATGTCCTGGCACAGGGTTGGCTCAGTGAGATGTTCTCAGCTACATCAGGCGTGGAGGAAACAGGATCTGGTGGAGGAGCTGGTGGAGGTTCTGGTGGAGCTTCTGGTGGAGGAGCTCGCAGCCCGAGCGCTCGCAGGAGGAGGAGAAGGGCACCCGTTTCATTGCTTGCCTTTTCCTTCGCAGTCGTGGTTTAATCTGCAGCGACCACCCCAGCTCATTCTTGGCTTTTTAGCCCTTTCTTCATTTCTTTGCTCCTTCGTTCTTGGTTTAGGAGGAAGATGAGCGACAACCCTTCCGTGAAAAGCTGTTGCCAGCCCAGCTCAGCTCCAAGCCCGTAGTGTGGGCTGTCCCAGGAGAGGACCAGAGCCTCCAGGCAGCTCCAAACTGTGGAATAAGCTCCGTGGAGGTGCCAGGACCATCCGATAACCTCTTTGCAAAGCTGTGGCTTGGCTCCTTTTGGCTGCACATCCCCGCTCTCCATAAATAATGTCTCAAAGGCTCTTCCTAGATACTCCGCTTCAACCCGGCAATTTTCAGCCTCCTTGTTAAATATTGGAACCATATTGAATCATTTTACTCACTTGGTTGTTCTCCAAACTGAAAGATGTCCTAAAAATAACTATTCCCAGTTCTGTGTGTGATGCTCAACCCGCCCCCCCCCCGACCATGGCTGCCTCCCAGCTCCGTCTGCGCTTCGGTTAGCTTATCCCAACACTAAATCAGCTCAGCTGGGGACTTTTAATCCCACTGCTAATTTCTACCAAACCCCACCTCTGCCTGTTGGCTTGTGAGAAGCACAAGGCAGGACCACAAATTCCCTTGGGAAGAACATCAGCAGGATTTAGCGCTGAAGATGATGACCAGGAGGACCCTGTCCAGGCTCACGCCCTGAGTCCAGCATCCACCCAGCTTGGGGTATGGCATTTGGGAGCAAGGAGACGCCTCTAGGGTTGCTTGCTCCAGCAAAGACGCCTTCTGCAAGGACTCTTCCTTGACGTGCTTCCCTTGGGCAGGTTGTCCTGTCCTCTCTGCCCTCTCCTGACCCAGAGCCACACTCAAGATTGGGGCTGGATGCAGCGAGACCTTACAGTTGTCCCTGCCATGAGAGGGTGCCAGACCAAAGCTCCCTTCTAGCCTTCTTTTATGCTTTTAGCCTATACTGGCCATGCCAAACACCATCCCCGCCTGCCACATCCATGGTCACATCCACATCCACTGCTACCCTTCACCCACCACCTCCAGTCCTGTCCTGTGTCCAGGGCTACCCCGTGCCTGCCACCTCCAGCTCGTTGCTGTGCTGGCCTCATCCAGCGATGCCTCTGAAGCAGCACTGCCCCAGCCTCACGTCCAAATCCACCCCATGCCTGCTACATCTCGCTCCAGCCAGCACACGATGGCATACAGCTCCCTCCTGCTCCGATCGGGACGTTGCGTGCAAGGGCTGCGGTTATTAAAATGGTATTTGGGGGATTTTTTCTTCTTTTTTTTTTTTTTTTTTTTTTTTATTTTACAACCCCCAGCCAGTAAACAAAGAGCAAATATGTGCTGAGTCGGCTCCCTCCTCGCAGGGCGGGCCGGCTCCGCTGCAAGGCTGGGGACTGCGCTTGCAGCAAAGCGTGCATCTGGGCAGATCCGCACGGCAGGGCTGCGGGGCTGAGGTCCCCCCTTTCCTGCAAGCCTTGTCACACGGGTCCCCTCTCCTCCGCTCTGCAGTGCAGACGGATTCCCCTTCTCAGCACCCACACTGCCAGGCGATGATGGGTCCTGCACGCACAGCTTTGGCCAAGGGGCAGCATGAGACCCAATGTGGCACTGCCAAGCTGGATGCACCCTGAGGGAACATGGACCTAGCGTCCAGGCAGACGTTTGACCCTCTTGCCTACATGGCTGCTCCCTCCCAGCACCACACTCCCAGCCCAGCCATGCTTAGGACCATCCATGGCCACCTCAAGGATGGCTGAAGACCTCTCTGCCCCGGCTGCATGGAGCCCCAGGCTCTGCCCCAACCCTAGAGCTGTTGGACAGCCCTAAACACAGCCCCAAAGCCCACTTAAGAGGACACACGGCCAAGCTTTATGGACCCAACACACCAAGGATGGCACCATCCTGGCCAGCAGGCGCTGAGCATCCTTCTCCACCCAAGCCCACCTTTGAAGGCCCATGTTCAGCAGCTCCAGCGAGGCTCATCTGCAGAGGCCTCCACGTCTGGCGGGGCTGCAGCGCTCGAAGCCTTTGAAACGCCGCTTCCGTCCTCCCCACATCTTGAAAGCAGATTGCTAAAATGCAAAAAATCTGTTGTTTTCGTTAATGTTGCTTTGAATATCTTCAAGCACTGCTCAGGCAGGAAGGTGGGATCAGGGCCACTGAGGCGGGCAAGCAACGGACCCTCTGGGAGGGTGCCACGACCCCGATGGTGGGTCTCAGCAAGCTGTTGGAGACCCGCAGCGGTGGTGTGACAGCAGGGTCCTTCCAACACCAAAGGTCCTCTGCGAGCCCCAACACACGTACCAAATCCAGCAGACGCTGCCCGATTTCGGAAGGCTTCCTCATGCTGCCAAGTGCCAGGCGATACGAACGCCGCTGCTCCTCCAACTAAGCGAAAACCAGGCAATCACATGAAAAAGGTCCTGCTGGATGGTAAAGCCTGGTCCAGCCTGCGAGTGGGGCTGGGATCGCCAAGATTTTGGGGAGCCTGCAGGTAGAGAAGGTGCTCTCATGGCAAGATGATGGACTCAAGTCTGCCTGGGGGGTTGCTCTGGCCCTTTAGAGCCACAGGGGACCTCTGCTCCCCTCATATCCTAACGCCAGAGGGATGAGCAGGTAATGTGGGCTGGGGTGCTGCCCTGCCTAGCTTAGAGCAAGAGCTGGAAACCTTTCCCCAGGAGAGGAGAAGGCTTCTACCCTCCTGACCGGGGCAGTCCAGGGATGTTCCACCCTTCCTTTGAGGGTGTCTGGATCCACCGAGCTGCAAAACCCATCCTGTAGCACCCAGGGGACTTGGATTCCCCACTGCAAATCAAGCAGAGAAGGAAAATCCCTCCCCTTCATCCCCACTTCGGCCCTTGAAGCCACCCCGAGAGGTGGTTTTGTGGCTGTGAACCCACCAAGAGAGGCAGCGGGACCAGAGAGCATGGCATGACACCCGGCGCCGCTGTGCCAGCATCCAGGAGCAGCGCTGGCGATGCCCAGCGGGCACCCACATCCCTGAGCACCCCACGAGGGCAGAGCCAGCCAGAGGCACCGCAGGACCGGGCTGAGCTCCTCAGTGGCCTCCACGCAGCCCCCAGCCCAAGGGACACCCTGGAGCGTGGTGACACAGTGCTGGGGACCTGCTGCAGCTCCAAGCTCAGCCCCAGGACCTGGGGAAGGGGATAGGGCTGGTGGGAGAAAGAAATACCCCCACCACCCCCCCAGAAGGGCTCATGCAGCGTCCCCGGGTGCGGGTGCCACAGGGCTGTCAGCCCGTGTCACCTCCCCGTCGCTGGCAGAGACTTGGTGGCTCCTCAGCAGAACAAAACCAGCTGGGATTTCAGCACGAAGGAGCTGGGAGCGGTGCCAGGAGCAGCCTCCTGGGGCAGGAGCAGCTCCCAGAGCCGCCTGTGAGACCCCATCGAGGGAAGGAGAGCCCCAAAATGTCCCGCGGTGGCTGCCAGCCGCAGGTCACCGCTCTGCCAGGCCCTCCAGCCACCCTGGGATGGGGCAGAGGTGTGCGAGGAGGACTTCTGCAGACCTCAGTCTGCAAGGAAACGGAGGTTTTGGCCCGGATGGTGGCGTCACCACGGTGGGAGCTGGTGGTCCCAAACGGGTCCAGCCTCATCCCCCCCACCACCCCCCCGGAGTTTCAAGGAGACCCTCAGCTGGGTGTACATCCCCATGATGTGGGTGCCATGGGGGTGAAGATCTTGCTCCTGGGGAGGCCTCCAGCTCTCCCCCAGCCATGGCCGGGCCACTGCTGCCCTCCACCGGCCACTTCCCACCCTGCACCCATGGGTTCTCCCAGCCAGGCTGGGGGCTCACCCCACCTCCCACAACCCTCCCTCCCGTGCTGCCAAAAGCTGCTGATGCCGGGGTGGGGGGACCCTTTCTGCCCCCCCTCCCTGGAGAACTCTCACCTTTCGCCCCAGAAGCCCCCAGCGAAGCCGTTCCGGGTCCCCCCAGAGAAGGTGGCCACTTGCGCTGTCGAGGATGCGGCTGAGCCCGGCAAACTCGTTTCATTTGTAATCAGAGTCAGAGCAGAGCTCGCCGCACAGCAACGCCGGCCGGCGCTCCCAACCGCAGGGCTGCGGAGCCTCGGACTCTTCCCTCCTGCAGGAAAAGCATCAAAGGGGAGACGGCATCCCAGCGCTTCCCAAATTTATTCCAAATGCTCTAATTACCGCGGCCTCCCACCAGCCGCTGCACTCGCAGACGATCAGGGATCAAGATGCCTCCCCCTGCCCCAATCCTCGGTGACCCAGGGGACTGGGTCGCGGGTGGGGACACGGGGTCCTGGTCCCGGCCTCAGCGACCAATTTGTGCCACTGGGCAGAACTGGGAGGGGAGGAGCGGCTCAAGGGCGCGATGCCCAGCCCGCAGCCAGGTTTGGAGAGGAGGGATGCGTCCACCGAACTTCCCGCCAACCTTCAGCATGGAATTTAAGACACGGCCTTACAATTCCCCTCCCTTCTCAGCTTCTGAAAAACTGCTTCCTCTTTCCCAAAATCCTAGGAGGAAGAAGAGGCGCAGGATTCCCCCTCGTCTGCCCACGGTGAATGCCCTAAGCGCAGGAGCCTGCTCGGAGCACGCTTACCAGCTGAGACCACCCGGGCAGAGAGGCGGCTCACTCCGAGACCCCAGCTGGCATTCCGGCAGGAGCTAATTGCTCATCCAACCCCGGCAATTTTTAGACCAGGCCTAACACCAGAAGCACAAGCACGGCGGGAAGCTTCTGTGTGCCGGGAGCTAGAGGGGATTTGGGAATCTCACCTGCGGGTGCAGGCGATTTTTACGCCTCCTGCGTGAATCCAGGTGAGGTTGCTCAGCGGCGACAGCGCTGGGGCTGCCGGGGGTGGGTGCCCCCACGCAGGACGGGTGCCCCCACGCTGAGCTTCCTCCCAGCCCGCTGCTCCTTCACTGCTCCCTGGAGCAATGGGGGGCTGGGTTTTCTCTGCTGAGGGCTGGGCAGCGCTTACCCCCCCACCCTTGGAGAGGGCAAGAGCGAATGCACAGCCCCCACCGGTGTGAGCCTGGTCATACACCAAAACACGAACCCTTGCCCCGTCCATGGCATCGAACCTGCTGCCTGGCCGAAGCAGCAGGCTGTTGATCCTTGCACCCATCACCAGGACTCGTTTGCAGAGGACCCACCCCCCCCATCTCTCTCAGCCCATTCCTAAATGGGCACCAAGCTCTCCCGGCAGCCCACGCCACCTGAAATCCCAGAGGGTCTTCACAGCGTCCTTTTTTATCTCCAGCCTTTAGGAAACGGATGGCTTAATCCAAACTCCTTCGCCTTCAGAGGGACGCAGCCTAGATGAAACGCGTCTGATCACCGACGAGATCAGATAAGCGAGTTCTCTCTTCAGGCTGCGGACACGGGCGAGAGGAATCAGAGGCCGACAGGGGAAAATAAAACAAAGATCTGCCTGGGAGAGCCAGGATCACCACCAGGCTCATTAGCCCACGCCAACATCAAGTTCTGGCCAAGCTGCTGAGAGGGGAAGGACTGGGAGAAGGCTGGAAGAGACCGGGGCTGCCTTGTTCCAACAGCAGAAATAAAATCTGGAAGTCCCAAAGAGGGGAAAAAAAAAAAGCCAGCACCCTGTCCCTGAGCTGTCAGCGCAGTTTTCCGCGGGAAGATGAAATCTTGCCTCCCCCCAGCCTATTCCACGCCCCCCACCGCTACACCACCAAAGGCTGCGATTTTCCAACTCGAATTTTAAGTTCCCAGGCGGCCTCGTTTGCAAAGAGACGGGCGATGCTGCTTGTGACCCCGCTGGATTTGGCAATCCCCATCCTACGTCCGATCCCGTGCCCAGCAACGCGCCGGGTAGACGAGCGATGCTCTTAGGGCCGCAGCTGCGCTTCGCCGCGAGAAATCAAAAGCCCTGTACACAAACCCACCCTTGGTGGGATCACCGAGAGGGGAAAATCTGCGGCTCAAGGGCGATCCCGCATGGCTGAGTTACACCTCAGGGATGTAGGAGGGGAAGACAAGACTTGGCAACTCCGGCTTCAGA